AGTAAATCTAAGTAGAATAAAAAAGTGGTATCCATAAGTCACAAGTGACATCAACTGCAGAACCAAAGAAAAAAAGAATAATAAAGGTAGTTTATTATTTATTTTCGGAGTCTATTCATATCTACAATGATATGAATCTAAATATTATCATAGCGTGACAAGAACGAATTGTTCTGAACAGTATTGCTTATATTGGTAGGAAAATTTTATAAATTCATCTTTCGTTTTTTTTTATTTTTATTTACAAACAAAATATGTATTGAAGCAGAGAAAATAATTTTTGTTTATCAAAAGATTCATTTTAAATTACTTATTGTGATAGTTTCTGAAACGTGTTGACTCATCTAAAAAGTAGCTTTCATAATACACTTTTTGTTGAAGATAGATACAATATATTGAAGCTTTTTATAATTCCCAAGATGTGATTTTACCATTACCATTTTCACATAGTTACGTATCCTATTGATGTATATCATGGATTTCTACATTTCGAATAGATTGCTTAGTATATACAGATTAGACGAGTTTCCAAGTAAAGTAACAAAGAAAAAACCTAAATAACTAACAATAATTGCGAAACGACTCAAGAATTGTATAATAGTTCTAGTTGAATTTGCTTGATTGATATTGATTCATTTACTTTCAATTGTCTCAGATGAATTAAGTTAATTCGCATCGTTGCCTATCTTGACTTTGGATAATTTTCTTATTTTTATATATAATCTAATCAATTTGTTTCATTTGCTACTAGAATCAAGATTTATAAATCGGTGAATGAACTTCATAATGACTGTGAAGTATTCAAATATAGCAATTTGACTAATTTTTTGATAGTAAATCGACTTGAGTTTATATCATCACTGTTTGTATCATTAATTACACAGGAAATATATTTTGAAAACACAAAACTTATACAGAATACTTAATGATTGATTCATCAAACAACTGTTATAAGACAAAAGTGACAAAAACGTTTTTTTCTTGAATCAAATAGAAATTGATATTTTGCTAAGTGTGATCTAATTTTATTAGTATTTTGAATTATTTGTGATTTAGAGTATGAACCATCTGTTAATTCATACCTACACTCAAAACCCATATCGGTATGTGTGTAAAACTAAATATACATTGTCTTCTAACTAATTAGAGTTAAAGAAAAACGATAATTTATTGTATATTTTTCTCCTGTCTATTATTTTTCTGTTGTTTGAAGAAAAAAATGAACACTGTTTTTTCCTATGTCTATATTTCAGATAATAAATAAAGATGTATTCAACCTTGTATTTGGTAATAAATGTATCTGTCATCAGAATATGACATTTATAGAAGCAAATCCATAGATTTTTCTCGTGTGTTGACTAATTATTCCAGCAATGACATCATCAGCGATCTGAATAAACTAAACACGAACACTATACATTTCAGCTATTTGTTGCATAAAATATAATAATACTGAATAAGTCAGTGTCCATTTATGAAAGAATCACTTAGATCATGATAAATCACACAAAATCATTTAAACTCATGAAAATTACAAATGGCTGCTTCATACTCTGTTTTAAGCGGAGTGTGTATTCATTTTGTTTTATTAAGGATGTGAGTAAGTGTAGCTATAGGTTTGGGTACATGTGTGGCTGTGGGGTGTGACTAGCGATGTGGACTTGGTCTTATTTTATATGCGCACCTACATCGACACCACGAGTTGCAGCAATCATAAGATAACCTTTGTACATTTTGCAGCAGCAAAAAAAAACAATATATGAAACTAATAAATTCAAGACGACTTGAAGCCTATCGAACGAAGCAAGACAACAAAATTCACGACCTGACTAAGGCTCGAATCCGATGTGATTGAGATCTAGCAGCTGAATGTCTTTGATCACCATACTATCTCTATTTTCGTAGCATCGATTCCTAGATATCAAGTTCTATTTATCGCAAGTGCAACTCTGACACTTATGACTAATCATCGAAACTGGTGCCCACTTAAAAGACACTCCTATAATTTACAATTCTGACAGAGCAAGCTTGGAATATTTAATAATGTATGATTATAGAGTTCACAATGAACATCAAGACAAAAATGAGCATAGAAAAACTACATTCATACACAAAAACACAAGAAGCAAACATACAGAGAGGCAAATCTCGCTTGTTATTACAAGCGTTCTAAATACATCAGTTGGAACAAATTCAATGCTTGGGATTCGGCATCGGCCATGTTGTCGACAGCATTCGTTTTCTACGTTGCATGCATTTAACAACGCTATCAACCAATCGTGGAATGATGAGCTTGAAAGCTGTTATTAGTCCTCCAATCAAACTAATCAACGTTGTGACTATGTAAATAGCATCATTTTTTGTAGTGAGTGTGTAGCTACATTGTGATGGATCACATGCTGCGTAATAGTACTCGTAAGTGGTCGACCAATTCCATTTGTCTACCATCAACTGCTAACACTTCTTGAGCAACAGCTGCTTTAAACGATGACGTACATTTTTCATGTGAGCAACAAAAGAATGCGAGATCAAGAGAAGAAAATGAGAAAGACAATAGGCAAAGTTTGTAAAATCGTCCGTCATTAGATGCTTCAGATTCAAAGATCGAACAAAAGATTGCTCCTCTCGTATCATTAGATGGTCTGATAAAATTCGCCGAGTTGATAACAAATATTACTATTGAAACGTTTTTTGATTGACTAGTGCCAAATAGATCCTAAAAACACTAATCAAATTAAAAGAATGAACATTTGACCGCTTCCAAAACACTTCAAAACTGCATCACTTTTAGCATCGAGGAGCATCCGTCAGAAACATATTACAATATACAAAACTGTCGGCACTAACAGTGAGATAACATGAATTTTGTAGAACGTGCTGCGCTGACTTTATTGGTGAAAGCCGCAGTTTTGTGGTTCTTGTGGCAAAAAGAAGTTATTGATGTTTTACTAGCCCTGTAAAAGTAGTGAAGTTTTGTCTTCTTCCAACTATTTTGACTCATCTTATGAGGCTCACACTAGATCTCATCCCGCTCGAAAATGGATGTGGATGATTTTAAATGAGGCAACAATGAAAATACTATACATGAAAGGAGAAAAAGGTTTGCTCAATACAGAAGTTTTGAGACAAGGGTCTTTGATTATCTCGGTTTTCTAGAAAACCTTTTTCAAGTCAAACTTTATTCAAAGGCATTTTCTGTCACATGGTTGAATAACAATTCTAAACAGAATGAAATACTGCCGACAATTCTAGGATCTACCATTCAAAATTGTCAATGAAAATACGAAAAATCCCCGAAAATGCCTTGTTAGAAACTAAAAAAAAGAATTTTTCACATCTACATTTTGCGGAACATCTAACTCAGTCATTCTAGGTCGTAAGGATCTGCAAAACACCTCATTTTGTTCCTAATTCAACGCTCTACCTAACCATATGACAGAAAATATTTTTGAATAAAGTTTGACTTTAAAAGGTTTTCTATAAAACCACGATAATTAAAGTTCCTTGTCTCAAAACTTCTGTATTGAGCAAACCTTTTTTTCCTTCCACGTATAGCATTTTCAATGTTCTTTCATTTAAAATCGTCCTGCTCCATTTTGGAGCAGAATGAGATCAGATGTGAACTTCTCAAGATGGGCTAAAATAGCTGAGAAAAGACAAAATTTTACTACTTCTACCGAGCTAGTAAAACGTCAATAACTTTTGTTCTGCGCGAACTACAAAGCTGCGGCTTTCACCAATAAATTCAATGCAACATGCGCTATAAAATCCATAGTATCTCACCGTTAGCGCCGATACTTTTGTATATCATGATATGTTCCTGATAGATCCATCCATTCTTCCAATTTTCTGAAATTGTCATAGTTGAATCCAATATAAAAGGTGAATTTTATCAATATTAGTTCGACCAATAAAGAACATGATCTTAATGATCGAGAAGCTATACTACATTCTTATGGAGGCATTTTAACACGATTTCGCTGATCATATCATTATTATCGTTTTGAAAGACAAAAGTCTAATAATGTATTTATGAACAACGAGTCGAAAATTGTGAACCTATAAAAAAAGATTAAATTTCACCAATGCTGGAATAAAGTCTCATAAGCCATTTCAGACGCTTACGGAAACAATCAAGCCAATGAAATTTTGATAAAATAGTGATGATTTCGAAGCATTTCATCGTATCTGTAAGCAATGGTGAAGTCAAGTATCCGACTGCTGAACTCGAAACTTTGTCAGCGATTTCTAATTGTCCAATCATTCAATTTATTATCGACTTGAATATATATCATCACTGTTTATGCCATTTATCACAAAGAAGTGTATTGCAAAAGTAAAACAAAACTTATCGCTCTGATTCCTTTTAGGATAGAAAACTCGGCGAATGTCCGTTGTATTACAATGAAGGAAAGAAGTGGGTTTTTTTGTTGATAAGACAGAAAATAGTATTTTACTAACTAATGCAATCTGATCAGTATGTTGAACTATTCTTGGTTAACAAATATCTCGTTTTTGCGCAATATTTAACCAGTTAGATGAAACGAATATTGCCGAAATGTAACATTTATTGGATTTTATAATCACAAAGGTATTAAGTTTTACTTTCCTCGCATTTATAAAGGAGCATAATATAATATTCATAATTTACATAAGCAGCATTGATAAAAAAAAAAAAAGGAAATTTCTAAGAAATTAATTTCATTAAGAATTTAAAATAATGATCGTGATAGCGACGATTGAAAATATGATAAAAAGTAGTGTACAATTGACATCAGTATTAAGTACAATTCGTACTGCTAATATTTCTGATTACTTTCATACTCAATAATAGGCTCATATTAAACTAGAAGAATTTCTCATAAGAAATATATTTTTTGTCTAATCATAGTCAAACTTAATAATATTTGGATTTAACAAGAGAACGATTAATAGTATGGACGAAATATTATTGTGAAAACCATAAACAGTCTCGAACTTAAACATGATTTATAAGTTTATCATGGATGTGTACTATCATTTGTCGTCCCATCCATTTGAACAGTGCCACCTGAGGTCGATTGATAAGTTGGAGTCATACTTATGCGATTAGACTGTTTGATGCCAAGACGACTTAGTATCGTAGAACGCCAAATAAATCCGGCAACAATAGCAGAAATAACAACGACACCACCTAATACGCCAAGAACAATTGCTAAAATCGGTGGATTTTTTGATTTATTGGGAATGGTTGTTGGTAGAATTTGTTCTCCATCCTGAGTTGTCACTGTTTCGTTTGTTGATTCTTGAGTTTGTGTAGCTGTAGAAGATGATGTTATCGTTGCTGATGATGTACATATTGAGCATACAGTAGTTGTAGTTGCTGCTGCCGTTGTTACTTCGAGACCTTCTGTATTGGTCATTATGGTTGTTTCCATTATCACCTCTTCAAAAGAACATTCTTCAACTGGATATGTACCAGAACCTATCATATATAACATAAAATAAACAATCATAACTATTGTATTAACTCATTTACATGGTCTAGATGAGACAATAATGTGATCAAGCGAGACTAAACCCATTCCACCAACTTTTCCTTTTCTTGCTTCAAACACTATCTACCATACAAATAAAGTCATATATATATATATATATTCATTTATTTACATCTAATTCATACTAGATATTTTCCATCTTTCTCTAAGTTCAATGGTGCTTCAGCTGTTATCCATTGGTTCGGTACAGTTGTTCCATTTTTATGCCACATACAGGATTGATTACCACTCCAATAATCTTTAACATAAACATTCAATCGATCATTGTCAGTACCTGCTATATTATATTGAAATTGAACACATCCTTCTTCAGATAATGCATCTAATACTGGAGAATCAAATTGTGAACGTTCACCTACTTGATCAAATTCACCACTTCGAATTTGAAGAAAACTTCCTATTAATTATATAAGAAAAATAAAATTTCCAATAATTATCTTCTAATAACTTAAATCTTACCATTTCGACAGTCTATCCATTTATTGTCATTTCCTTTACATTGAATTTTATTACTATTCGGCATGCAATAATATTGAGTACCATTCTCATCATATGGAATTTTACATATTTTACCATCAACAATTGCTCTTGCTATAATAAAAATATATTTATTAAATTCTTTCTTTTGTTTTCTCAATAAGAATAGCACATACTAATACTACTATAATCACTAGATGGACCAATGGTAATATTTGGTTCTCTTCGATCAATAACTTTCCAACCATATTTTGTATCACTTTTCCAACCACATAATTCTTTATCAACATCAAAATCACAACTTGCATTGAATCGAGTTCGAGGTGTTGTTGTTGACGATGATCTAGTTGTACGTGTACTAAGAGACACTAAAATATTTATTGGCAAAGAATTTTCAACAAGAAGTTAATTCTTACTTGGTTCTCCTTCCAAAACAATATCATCAATTGCAATATCAGATGATCGACCACTACCTGTTCTATTAGCGACAAATGTGATCTATTCAAACATATATCATTAAATATGGAAGATATTCAAAAATATTTAAAAAAAAATTTTCTACATTAACATCAACACCAGCAGATAAAGTAACATCAGCTTGATACCATGTTGGTGCTCCTTGTCGACCACTTTTTTCCCATAGTGTTTGATCATTGACAATTAATGCTAATGTTCCAATTTGAGTTCCATGCATGAAATACCAAAATGAGAATGCAGTAGATTGTTGAATAACAGTATTCACACTCATGACACCAAATTGATCAGATTCAGATAGAAGAGTAGCCATAAAACGAGCATAGTTACCACCTTGAATAAAAAATATTAGTTGTTAGAGTTGTTAATGAATGACTTACTTCCAGTGGTATGATCCATAGTTGGACCAGAACTTGCTGTTTCAGGTGTACTACCTGACGGGAAAATTTGCCATATCGAACCTAATTCCCATCCACATTCACTCAATTCAAAGTCACATGTGACTGAATAACATAGAACATGTGAATAATATTCTATGGATGCTAAATTATTTTATTTTATATAGATAACAAGAAAATAAAATACTTACTGAAAAACAAATATAAGAAGAAAACAATGTTTTTATTCTTCATTCTACTTTTTAAATGAAGATAATGAAGACAAAAAAAAGAAGACCATGCGAAGTTCACTGATATCGTACTCTTTTTTATCTCCGTTTTGTAAAGAAAAACATGAAAGAAGTAGTTAAAAAGCTTTTTGTATCATCACATACTGAATAAAAAAAAACAACAACAACAAATCTTATCATTGGAAAAAGTACAATCAAATTTCATTGTTTTTGTTTGAATTAGAATACTAAATATCAATCAATTACACTAAAGTCTCTCTCTATGTTAGCATCTCTCCATAATAAACATCTTCTTTTTCTGAACAGTGAACACTTCTTTCGGATCCCATGAGCAATAACAATCTCTGTAATGTTGAGGACATTATCTTCCATCATATCACATGCAGAAAGAGAAAAAAAATGATGCTATGTGTGTTACATTATGATAAACAATTATGGGGCACATAGGAAAACGCAGATGGACTAATTGTGAATATTTAAAAGAAAAAAAAGACAATATTAGACAATAGCAATAATACTTAGTGTAATATCCCATCATTTTTGTGTTAACAGTTATTCTTGACATTAAAAATTAATGCACCTCGATATTTTTTTTGAATATATCGAGAACGACAGTAGCTAAGAAACCTGCAGTTCTTACCATTCGAAAGAAAATTTTCAGAGAAGCAAAACATTACTAACTTCTCTGGATTATGTATTGGTCAAACTGTTAAGCTTTTGCTGTAAATTTTTATCAAAAGTTTTTTCAGAAAAATTGTCTCAACTAACAACAAGTTCCAATTTAGGAAATCGGTAACGAAGACATTTTTCTTTCGACTTAGACAAAGTCAATCCTTCTATCTAATCTTATACAGAAGTTATAAGCGTTTTTCTCGAAGCCTTGAAATCGACCAAATGACCATTGATCACTCTAAAACATATTGAATTTAGTTTATTCATCTACGCTAGTTATTTGTTTTAGTTGCAATATGATCGTAAGTTATTAGATCATGATTTATATAATTTATTGTATACAAAGCTTTTAACATTAGATGAACTCAGTATTGATGAATGCATCAAACTCAATACGGTTTAGAGTGATCAGTTGGATGATTTCATGTTGTCCAGTTCAAATCTTATAGTTTCTGAATTGATTCAATTAGAGAAGGGTCGGCCTTGTGTAGATCGATAGAAAAATTTTTTCGCTATCGATTTTTTAAATTGAAATTTATTGTTAGTTGAGACACTTTTTTTTTTCGAAAAAACTTCTGGTGAGAATCTACAACAAAAACTTACCAGCTTGACCAATACATAGTCCAGATAATTTAGCAAAGTTTTCTTTCCTTGCATATTTCTCTTTCAAATGATGAAAATTGCAGATTTCTCACTACTTTCGTTCTCGAGATGCATAATATTTTGATGCCTAGAATAGTAATATCAAACCATATCAACACGTGTTGATTTACTTCTGATTAAACAAGTTCAGTTAATTAATTATCACAAAGAAGAAACGGATCAATCACTTTACATAACCAAAAAAAAACAGAAACCGAAAATCTTCATAAACTGAACACTTTTGGCCAGTCTCAATGGTACTCACATTAAAGCAATTTTACTGTAATATCATTGTCATCCTTCATTCAATTTTCTTTTCTTATTTTTAGCTCAAAACTTTGTCGAATAATCAGCAATATCATTTCAATTATCTAAACTTGTGTCATACTGAATTCGAAAAAAAATTCAAATATACACGAACAGAAACCAACAATCTGTTATATATTATAAAAAACAATCAACATAAATAGGTCTTATCCAATTTCTTATTTTTTTTTTCTTGTAGAAACAAAACCAAAGAGAGATGTTAAAATATATGTCTGTTCGTGAATAGATAACAAATAATAAATAGAATTTCATTTATAATTTGTCATAATAATCTTCCAATGGTGGAATACCTTCTTTTAATCCTTTACGTTTTCGAATATCATTAACAATTTGTCGAATTTTCGTTGTAGGATCAAATGGATCTTGATTCATAACTTGCCAATGATCAAATACACATTGTGGAAATGCTTGACCACCTGTATTTGAACGAAGATCAGCAGTAAAACCTAAAACAAAAATAGAATATGAATAAAAATTCAAAACAAAAAAAATTCTTGTTTTTTCTTATCTTACCAAATGATTCATTGACTGGTAAATAAGCTTTAACAATAAACATTGGTGTACCAGTTACTTGATGTTCTTCAAAAACATGACCACGACGACGATTTAATACACCATAAATACCACCAACAGCAACTTCCGGACACTAAATACAAATTATTATGATTATTATTTTATCAAAAATAAAGTTTTTTTTCTTAAACATACTTGTACTTCACATAAATAAACTGGTTCAAAAAGTCTTGGTTTAGCTGTAAGCATTGATGCATAAAGTACACGACGAGCTGTTGGAATAATTTGACCACCACCACGATGTATAGCATCAGCATGTAGTGTAACATCATGAATATCAAAACGAACACCACGTACATTTTCTTCAGCAAGTACACCTTCTTTTGTAGCCCATTGAAAACCAGCAACACAACTATCTTTTATTTCATTTAAATATTGTACACCTTTAGTACAATCCATTAAAACATTTGGTCCTGTGCCTTCAGGTCCAAAACACCAAATTTTACGTGCTTCATTTACATCATAATCATATTTTTCATTTAAATAACGTGCACGTGCTTTTAATTCTTGACGTGGTGTTACATCACCTCTATCAATATCTTCTGCTAAACCTAGACAAAAAAAAAAAAGATTTTTTTGTTTTTAATTAAATAATCAAACACAAAAAAGAAAAATTGTGTTTTTCTTTACCATCAGGCATTGGTCGAGCTTTTAAGAATATACGATTATGTTTATTAGGTGATTTCGATAGACACATGATTTCTGATTCTTCAGATACAGTTTCACGATATGATACGACTGGATCAGAAACTTTTATTGGAATACAAGCATGATCTTCTTCAAGATCTTTCAAACAAATTTCTAAATGTAATTCACCAGCACCAGCAACAATATGTTCACCAGATTCTTCGATAATACACTTAAAAAATAATACAATATAAAATTCAATTATAAAAACAAAAACAAAAACAAAAACAAAACAATTCTTACTTGAACCATAGGATCGGATTTAGCTAAACGTTTCAAACCTTCGACTAATTTTGGTAAATCAGCTGGATTTTTTGGTTCAACAGCAACACGTACAACAGGACTAACACTAAATTTCATGACCTAAAATATTTATAAAATAGATAATAATAACAACAACATAGAGTACGAATAATAAATGTTCTTATCATCAAATAAGAAATTCAAATTTGCTAATTAATTTTAACTAACCACTAATGAACATTTATGCTAACAGTACTTATTCAGAAAAATGATTCTTGAAAGAATCAAAATGAAAGGTATGTATATCCTGTTTTGCTTGAAATAGTTCATAAATATTTCTAATTGAATTTCCATAAAACTACTTACACGAAGATTGTGTGCATTTTCAAATGTTGTAATCGTACCAGTTTTAATTAAATATTGATCAACACCAACAAGACCACAAATATTACCACATGGTACATCTTCAATTGGTTCAGTATAACGACCCATCATAAGAATTGTTCTAAATAGAAAATAGATTAAATAAATCATCTTAATTATTATTATTATTATTTGTTTTTTGCTATGCAATTTAGTGAAAATCAGAATTGGGATATATTCCATCAATTAGAAAAATTCGGATGGGGAATCCTATTATCATCATATTTTCATATAGATAAAAAAAGAAAGAAACTCGAAATTGACATACCGTTGAATACTTTTAACATAAAGATCTTCTTTTTTGCCTGGTACATAATTTGGACCCATAATACGTGCTTTTTGACCTGTTTGAACAACACCCGAAAAGACACGACCAAAAGCATAGAAACGACCTTTATCCGATGTTGGTACCATTTTTGAAATATACATCATCAATGGAGCAGTTGCATCACATGTTTTAATACCTAAAAATGCTTCATCGTCTTGTGGACCTAAAAATACATATCTTAGTTGAAGAAATAATCTGAGCTTTTTTTTTAAAGTGAATATACCTTCATAAAGAAGTTCAGCACGATATTTTTGTGCAACAACAGGTGATGGTAAATGAATAGCAATCATAGTAAGAAGAACATCACCAGCTGGTAACCATTGTTTCATAACAAGTTTTAAAAGTGGTTTACCACCTTCTTCTAATTTATCACGATCTTCACCTTGTAATTTAATATTTAATTTTTCAAGTAATTGTGTATATTCATCTTTTCGACAATCCATAATAGCTTTGAAAATTTTAAATATAGGATCAAGAACAAATTGACAAAAACCACGAACATAACCTAAAATTATTTATATATAGATTAATTTATTTATTCGAAAAAATTAAAAAATTAATTTACCTTCTCCACCACCTTTTGACCATTTCTTTTCTGTTGGTGAAAAAAAATTATCACCCCATAATCGTTTCATTAATTTGTCAACTTCAATTTTAAATTTTGATGCATACATTTCAGCAAATTCTTTCAATGTAAATGCCCAACCATGAAGACCAGCACCAAAACCAACTGTACCTTTTGTTGGATCAACCTTTAACAAAAACAAAAAAATAATAATAAATCGATGGATATCGTTTGCGTCTTTATCAAGGGGAGGGGGAACACAAATTTTAATTATCGCCAAACTTAAAATCCAGAGTTGTCAATTGATGCTTTCTGATATTTCGAATATAACTCTGCATTAATGTATCAGTCTAGTCGTTGCAGTTATTTACTTAAGTGCCTCTCACTCCAAAAAAGTTAATTTGCATCAAAAAAAAAAAAATCGAAATTGACATAAATATATTGACAGATAGCTCAAGGTTTGCTTATTTTTTTGTTGATGTCTCTCACCTTATGCCTTTCCCAGAATTCTTAAAGGAACTTCATTGCTGTTTTTTGTTTGAAAAAATATGTAAAGGTTCAGTGCCCATTTTTTGGACTTCAACTTTTTTATTATCATATAAAAAAAAGCACTTCTACAAATAGATAATCATTTTTCAGAATATCGAACTTATCATCCTTTTTCGTCGCATAAAAAGAAAGAATTTTAAAATGGCCACTACAGTCTAACATGCTGTTTCAAAGAAAACATTAAATCTATAAAATGAGCATTCCTACAGAGAATTTGGTGTTGTTGAATGTACCTGACCCAAGATCAATTAATGAGCAGGGAGAGCTCAATTTATTTCTATAAAGATACGATAATAATAAGTTCTTCTACGAATAGCATAAAATAGAGAGAAAATCATCATAAATATTTTCCATACATGAACGGCTTAAATTAATGCATAATCAAAAAATCTAATCATAGGAGCACAAAATAACTTATGATTATGCAAATAACGAAGAGGTAAATGGAAATGTGGAGACTAAGTAATATTTATAATAGCAGGCAAGGATATTTACATCTGAATATCAATAATTTTTTGCAATAGCACAAATGAAAAATTCCCTATGCAATTGTTTTGGACTAAAACAAATTCTTCTGTCAGTCAAAGTAACCTTTGTTATATTAAGCTGATTGGTGAAATCGAATGAATTTATCAATGTACTCTCAAATGAGAAAGTAAGACATCAACATGTGCTTTCCAAAATGTATGAGCCAGGAGTGGCATAGGAATAGAGCCTAACGTGGTAGGCTGGCATCTCTCATGGAAACACTGTATCCTCAAAAAATAACAAAATACATTTGATCGATCTATGAATATTTCATTTGTGGCAAAGGACTAAGATTGTCTGTTTGATTTTTTTTGACGTACTTGTAATTCGCCCATTGGACCATTATCATCACCATAGGTAGCAATGATGACATTGACATTTTCAACAATACGTTGAAATGTTTGAAAAAGATCTTCTTGTTGAAGTTGTAATTCAAGTAAAGCACGATCCATTTTGTTCATAAATAAAATTGGTTTAATGCGTTCAGCAATAGCTTGACGAAGAACAGTTTCAGTTTGTACACAGACACCTTAATTTAACAAAAACAAAAAAAAAACAGATGATTTTTTAATCAATTTAAAAAAAAAAAATTTATTTACCTGAAACACAATCAACAACAACAAGAGCACCGTCGGTAACACGTAAAGCAGCAGTAACTTCTGATGAAAAATCAACGTGACCTGGTGAATCAATAAGATTAATTAAAAAATGAGATACATTAGGTTCACGTTCTTGTTTAATAAATTCGAAATCTTTAGCAGGTAATTCATAAAAAAGTGAAATAGCTCTAAATATAAACAAAAAAATAATTTTAACTTATATAATGAAAATACAAAATCCGTTTTAATCCTACGTTGATTTAATTGTAATACATCGTTCTTGTTCATCTTTTCGTGTATCAGTAAAACGCATTTCACCAGCCTTTTGTTGAGCAATAATACCAGCTTTGCATACAAGTGAATCAGTTAATGTTGATTTACCATGATCGACATGAGCAATGACAGACATATTTCGGATGTTCTTCTTCTTGTCCATCAGACCACGAATTTCATCGACAGTAAAATTAACCTATGAGAAAAATGAACCATGTTTGTTCTTTTGTTGCACTCTTGCATTTAATAGAACTTACCATTGTTGGATATTTTTAATTAGGATAGTTAAATAAGATGATATAGGTTTTCAGCCCCAATTCAGCGAGTTTCTAAAATTCAAAAAAAAATGTCGTTAAGTAAATAATAAAGTTCGAATTAATGTAAATGACGCAGCAGCTGTTAGTTGAATATGATTCCGAAAAAAAAATGTTATGAAGGATTGAAAACGTGGAAGGTTATATGGCTGACGATGGACTGAGAGATGTTTTGTTTTCCTTGCTGTATTTTTCATTGATGAGGGCCCATATAATTTTACTTGAATTTAACATTAAATTCAAATATAAAAAGAAAATTTTTAAATTAAAAGAATATTTTCTAATTTAGTAATTCATTTCATACATAAAACGATATTTCAATCAACATATTAATGCACTTCTATGTACTGTCTTCTGATTCGTAGAATCGACGTTACCTAGCAACGATATCTATAATGGCATAAGAATTTTTATGAAAAATAAGCACAGAAAAATTTGTAATAAATAAAATTTGATTCAATTTATTTGTATTAAACAATAATTAATACTTACACTAATTAGAGGCAAATTTGCATTGTAAAATATTTATTTATGATAGTTTGATGGTGTTTTTTTCATGACTTTTAAAAATTTCAAAACAATTTTTTTCGTTTGGTAATTTATTGGATTTGAATAGTTGGTTTTAATTCTAATGTGAAAATATTATATATATAGTTTCATTAGATCTATTAACAGTGAAAATTTTCTTCGAACAAACTTTAAATAAAGACAATGAGATTTTATAAAATATTCATTGAATAATCATTATACTTAAATGTTTACTATCAAAATTAGGATACATATGTCAAAACGAAATGGATCGTTCAATCCTACCGAAAGAGATTATATTTCTTTCAGGCAATTTGATCTCAACTTTACTTCTATTATTTTTAAGAAAGATTTATAAAATTTACAATTGATAATAATCAAAAAGCTTTATTCAGGAAATACATAATGATAGAACATTTCTTCAATTCTATACGAAAGACCGACGAAAATGTTCATTGCATTAAGCATTATGAGTATTATTGAGTTCGAGTATTATTAAAAATTAATATTGTAAACAATAATTAGTAATTTTGTCTGACCGTTAGAGATTGATCAGAAAATAAATCACTTCCTGAGAGATTCTTGTTAATGACTGATAGTCTTATCATAAAGTTAGATAAACATATCATGTTTTTTACAATTCAATAATTAATTCGAATTATCTCTTGTAGAAATTCTTTTTTCTTTTTGTAAAAGAAATATTCTAATAAGCAGTGTCTGCTCGAGTCGGACAGACATATTAAATTGAACAGACAAGCCATCAATAAAATGATTCAATACGTATGTAAAACATTTTCAAAAGCAAAAAAACAAACGTTATAAATAATATATTTGTTTAACATAATTGTGATACTTGATCAATTTCTACACAGTTCTCTATCATTCGAATTGAACGATACAATCACTATAAAATATTTTCTGTTCTGTTTTCTTTTTTTTTCTTTAATACAATGAACATAGATATAAAAAGACAACATGAACAAATTTGTCAATCGAAATTATTTCTTTTCTATGTCAATAAATCATTCAATATGGTAAATATTAAATTCAATCTTTTTTTTTCATATTTCTTTTTAATTTGTAAGTAATTATAATTCCAATATTGAATAGAATTTATTTGTCAATACTTTCATTGAAGACATGTATTGATAAAATTTGTTATAGAGAAAAAAAAACATAAAGATGAAATAAAATTTAAACTGAATTGAAGAATGAACAAAATACAAAAAAAAAAAAGATGATAGAAGACACGTTCGAATTATAACTATAGATTAATAAATACATACCAGCATAAGAACAATCAATGACGTATCACATTCCTTATTTGATCTTCTTGTTAAATTAATTATTGAATACAAAAAAAAAAAAAAAATTCAGCATAGTAAGTATCATCGATGTTTTAGTTTATTTCCACACAGCCGGTATGCATCAAAAAAAGAAAAATCACGAAATGCTTTGTGACATTGAGTCAAATAAACAGTTAACCTATTTCTATTGATGAAAGCCTATATCTATCATTCTGTTGACATCATCATCTACTTAATCCTGTGTCATATAGAGAAGAACAAGAAAAAAAAAACGAAGAATGAACGAAAATTTTTATTTTAACATCACACAAAAATGACAATGGAATATAGATTTGAACGAGTAAGTTCTTATTATTTTTTTGTTTGTAAAGAAAATATTAATCGGCAGGTTCTATATTAACCACTTGTGTTAATGTCATATCATCATCGAATTGTCTATTTGTTATCGGTGGACTTCTTGGATCTTCGTTAGGACGTCTTGGTGAACCAGCTCTTCTTGATCGTGATATTCCTTTTTGTGGAACATTTGTATAAAACGAACGTTGATTATTTGCTGGCAATGTATGACTTGGTTCAAATGCATTAACTGGACGACGATAACCATCACCTTCAAAATTTTGTCGAATATTTGGTAAAATAGTACGTGTATTAGGTGGTATAGGTCGTCGACTACTATTCATTATTCCTTGTTTTCCAGGATTTTCTCGATCCAAAGCTAATGAAAGACTTGAATCATTACGTTCTGTATAAGGACCCATAGACATTTCTGCTGTAAGATCATTTGGTTGTACTAATTGAACTGATTTAAGTATATGAGATGGACCAGGTTGTCGAGATCTTGATGATTGACGTACACCACGTGATGTGTCAATTCGTTGTTGTATTGGATTTTCATATAATTGACTTAATGAACGAAGACTTTCAGATGGAAATGCTGGTGGTGTAAAAACATCAGGTAAAAATGCTTGTTGTACAGGTGTTGGATGTTCAACACGATTTTCATATAATTCAGGTATAAGATCAATATATTGACTTTTAAATGTTTTCCATTTTTCTGTACGTTTAATTTTTTCTGCATTACGATTAATTAAATTTATACATGCTGCTTTAAGTGCTTCTGAACCAGCTTCATGTGCACATATTAACATTTCAATAGCATTATCAACTGTAAGACGATATAAAAGAAAATCAGCTATTTGTGTTTTTAATTTTTCTAATTCAAATCGTTTTGCAGCTATTAATAAATCAGGTGCATTTTTTAAACTAATTAAACAACGATTTGTATACATAAAATTTAATATTTCATTCATAACATCGGAATGAATATCATCAATACTTATTTGTAAAACATAATCATCATTATTATTTGCATCATGATATTCACCAAGAAGATGACGAAACCATGATGATCGACCACCTATTAGAGAAAAAACAAACAAAAAAACAATTCAAAGAATTCTTTGTTTCTATTATAAAATAATTATTCTTACCAACAATACATCGATGTACTTGTAATTTAACATCATCTTGACATTGAATTAATGTATCATAAAATAAACCATTTCTTAATACACTAAATAAATCTCCTTCTAATTCATTAAATCCATATAAATTTCGGTCATTTTCAATTTGTTTTTCTTTTCCAGTTGATATACCATTTTGATCATATATAATTGTTGTTGGTGTTGTTTGAGATGTTGAACTTCTTAATGAAATTGAATCATCAACAGTTTCAATACCTGAAGGTTCGGAAAAATCACGTTTTATTCCATATTCATCAATACTTATCATATTTTGATTTTCAGCTATTGATTTATATGTACTTTGTTCACTATCATTACGACTTTGTATACGTACTTGATAATAAATTCGTTCTCGTTTACAATAATAACGTATAACAAATGTTGAACTATTACAAAATGGACATAAAACACGAAATCGAACACGACCTGTTGTTGTTGGTTTTTGTTGTTGTTTTCGATATGGTACAAGCATACCTGCTGGTGATTTACCTTGACTATCAATACTAATTCCATTAGTTATATTATTTGTTGGTATTGGATCAGGTAAAGCTTCATCTGTAATTTGAAATGGAATCAATGAACGACATCGTTCACAATGAAGTGATTCAAATAGAAGATATCCATGACAAGTACAAATTGTTTGAATTGATATAAACATTGTTGATAAAAAAATCTACAGTTGTTGTTATTATGACGGTGATGTATCTATCCTTGGTTGCTATTGTTTAATCAATATATGTCAATGAATGCGACACAAAAAAATGAAAATAAAATTTACTTTCTCTATTCATCATTCCCGTATTTCTCTTTTTTTTTCTTTTTATTTATTGATTGTTAATATAATTTTATAAGGTATCTTTTTTGCGATTTCAATTTAAATATGAGTATTAGCATGTTTCATGCTAAAAGAAAAACATAGAAGAATAGACATTCTTAGTTGAATTTGATCGTTGACTAGAATGATTTTAATTTCATCTGATATGATTGAATTAATAATTCAATTGTATATTTTATTATTTTCATTTCACATCATATGTACTACAAAATGTTAGTTGTCAACATACATCCTATATAAAATGTTTACTCTATGAATAATATTGAATGTTGATTTTTAATTTTATTAAACATTTTTTTTTTTGCTTATTAAATCGATAGCGCTGGTAAAATGTAATGAATGTTGATATTGTAGGACTTTTATTGTCAAAATGATTATCAAAATAATTTAAAACAAGTTATGAAGCATAACCTAAAAGGAGTGTTGAAATATATAAGGTAAAGATTCTCTCATCTCCACAGACCATGACAGATATGCTAGAAAGAGCTCATCACAGATATGACAGACATCCCCCTAAGAAAGTGTTTCCTTCTTGATAGACCGTGACAAATGCCTTGGCAACAACTCCGTTCCCTGCGTCACAGACTGTGGTAGACATTGTTGATATAGAAATTAATCAATTGATCTCTATCATAAGTTTATCAGAAACAAAGAACATTTTTTATCTATTCGATATAATTCAAGTAAATTTGAATATGATTTTATTTAATAACAAATTTAATTTGTTATATTAGCCGCATAATAGTTATCTAACAAAAACAACTGTTGGTACAATTCTTGTGAGATTAAAATATGAAACACAATGGATGTGCATATATTGTAAATTAAAGGATTCTGAAAAGTATGCTTCGGTTTGTAACTTCCAATGCACTGATATGTCCGTGATAAAAGATCTTTGTCGTAATTTATTATAAGAAGTTAACAAAGTGAAAGGGTAAAGAGAGGTGTTTTAAATTTAATCTTCTTTCATAATAATCCTACAGAAGACTTTAGTTTTGTATCTAAGTCAGTCTCAATTCGTGACGGACGAAAAGTTGCTAAAGTATCTCTCATGATCTGTGAGGAAGTCCAGATTTCTATTTCTATATTTCAACACTCCTTTGAGATCATGTTTCACAATAAAAGAAAATTATATATGACATCATCATTCAATATTGACATTATTAAGCAATAAAAACAAACAATTGTTTAAACATTTTCTTTTTATCCGACGATCATTATTTGATTTATTGTCCGATAGAGGTTATTTGATAGATTCACAATCTAGTTAGAGAAATGTTTATGTCAATCATTTTCTTTATCTATATTAAGAAGTTATTGTTCTATTTTTGATTTAATTATTGTGTAAGAATATTGATTTTTATTAGTTTGATAAATTCAAAAAAATACCGATCAAATAGATTCCATTTGTCAAACACTTTCTATTCAATAAACAATCTTAAATTGAGTTTAGATACGTAGTAGTAACATTGATTTATCAAGTTGAGATTATTCGCAACAAAAGATCTGTGTAACGTTAAAAATATCACTGACAGTGGTTTATATTAAATAGGTAATTAGAAGAGTTTATTCTCCTTTTTTCTACTTAAGACTGGTTAGTTTTTAAAAACAATTCGAAAGGTCTTTGTAATCGTACAGTTAGTTTTAATAAATTTCTTTTTACACTTTAGATTTTGGTTTTAAAGAGGCCATTAGGTTGGAATAGTTAAAAAGTATTGTATGTTGATATTTATATAAAATTAGATGAATCTTCTAATCAAAAAATAGAAGATAAATATCACTAGATCTGTCATGTTTCAATAACAAACAAATTTTATTAAACCTATTATAAATGCCACCCAATAAAAGAGTTCGAAAAAATCGGATAAAGATAAAAACGAACAATTTATTTCTCGATTATCTTTCAAACTATACATTTAATTTATAAAGAAACTAAACGAAATAAAAAATAGTGTATTTTCTAGATACTTTCGATAAAATTCACAGTAGAATTATCAATTATTAACAATGATCTTCTACTATTGAAGAAGCAAAAAAAATTTATTCCAATTAATCCTGCAGTTTGTTTTGACACAATAACTTCACTCTAATTTATCTTCAGATTAATCAAGACAGTCAATCGAATAAATTATATTGTGAATTATTTTTTTTTATACTTGATTTTTAATGTATTTTTTTTTCTATTAAATTCTAGTGCAATCATCGAATATGATTTCACAATTTATTTCTAATAATCCAATTATTTCATTAACAAATATACAAACAATAATAGAAAAAAATATAATAGAAAAGGAACTTATCCAACCAAATAATTGTATTGAAAATTTTTCAACAATGTCATTCATTGATTTAATGCCAACTAAAGATGATCCACATCAATTACAAATATCTAAAAATAATCCAATTATAAATAATAAGTAAAAATAAAATTTAAATTTATAATTTATGAAAATTCTAACATCTAAATATCTTTCATTTAATATAAAAAATTTCTCTCTCTAAAATTAATTTTCTTCAAATCTTTTTTTTTTTTGAAAAAGCAACCTTTTATGTCATGAGTTTGAAACATAATACTTTTAGTTAAAACAATAATCAAATATATTTTACTATCGGAAACTTATCAAATATTCCATGAAAATATGATGTAGTTAATTAGAAAAAAAAGAAATTCGAAACATTTTCTAATTGAAGTTTTTGAATTATGATTCTTGTTAGCTATATTTCAACGATAAAAAAATGAAAACAATTCATTTCAAAACAAATTCAGTCGATACTGGACTTATATTTCTATGAAATTACCCATATAAATCCACTATGACAAAAAAAAAGTATGCAATCTGTTATAGTTTTCCATATCCCTATAGTTATATCAATAACTTTTATTTTAAACTTCTTACTAAAAATCATAATATAAAATCTAAATATAATCTGTGAATGTGTTTTGATAAATTTTTGTGTTTACTTAATTATTGACTTCTTCCATAGGTTCACGAGATATAAGCATCCCCCCTCCGCAAAAAGTCAATCTTGGTCTAAACTATCAATTTTGTGACTAATAGCTCATTAGATAGAGCAAAATGTCTACTTCAAAATTCACTATGGCTTGTTGATTTCATGATGAGATTTAAGGATATTAAATAGGTTTTTCTAAACCCTCATATTGAAGAAAATAACGTTTTTTTTTCTAACGACTTTGAACCTTCTCTGTTGACTTTTGGTAGTGATGGACATGATAAACTCACACCGACACCCTTAAATACGTTCATTTGGATTGTTCTAACCAATGATCTATGTCAAATTATTCGAAGATTCTTTTTAGATTAGTTTATGAAAGAAAAAACGTCTTGAATTACAGTGTTGAAACTTATTTTGAGGTTTTTCTCATTAATGAGGTTTTCATATTGACGTTTGCATGCATTTCAGTTTTCTCCGCCATTTTAAACATTCGAAAATCGAGCTTGGTATCAAAATGAAGGCAAAAGTCAGTACTAAAACTTAACAGTGCCAAATTTTTGCGATTCTCTCTTTAATATTTACTAAATGGGTTTTTTCATATTTGATCAGAGAAGGTTTCGAGAAAAGCAAAGTAGGAAAAACCGAACTCTGTTAACTTGTAACATCACATTTTCGCTTCATTTTAAAATCAATCTAGACTTTCTAGCATTTCAAATAACGGAGGAATTTGGGACGTAAGGGGGTCAATATTTAGATCCATAATCTTAAGATAACTTTTCATAGACTAATATATCCAATTGAAACTTTTACTGTGAGGTGTTTAACTCAAGATACACCGGCTCTGAAAATTTCACCAAAATTGGATGATCGAAAAAAAATTTCTTGTTTGAAGGGACCTCTTAAAGTTACCCTAGTCTAACTTTTTCTTGATAACTATAATCATTCTTTAACCCTTTACTACTTTTCGTGTTTTTGAACTTAAAGGACTCAAAGAATAACGATTGTTTATAGTTGTAAAGGAAAAGTGAGATTGGGATAAACTTGATTTCTTATGAACTTTTCACTTCTTCCTGATTTATGACGGACAGACATGTCTGTGAAATACTTTTCAGAATACATATTTTTCTTCTATATATATTTTTTTTCTATCTGAAATAAAAAACATAATAATAAATACAATAGGAAAATGATTTTAATTTTTAATAGACAACAATATATTAAAATTTCATCTCATATTCTCACTCGACGTTCACCTGAAGCTTATAAAAATTTACGAGCTAAAACAGTGCGAATTGGTAAAGTTCGTTGGCCACCACCACTCAATTCAGACGAAATTGATCATGCAAATCAACAAAGGTTTTCTTTTCTTCATATTTCTATTCAAATAAAATTTTTAAAAAAATCGTTTGTTTGGTTTTATTTTTAAGACGATTACTTGTACAACGTCGTATTCAAGAAGAAATTCATGGTAATGCAATAGTTATAGAAAAATTAGCAATTGAACAAGATCATGTTCCTCTAGAAAAAAAAATTCTATTATCTAATAATGATAATAATCTGTGTATAAATGATATTGTTGTTTGTAATCAAAAACCATTAACATTAATGTTTGTATTGAAAACTAAAAAATATTCTTGTCCTTTTCTTTTTTTAAATAAATTAATTTTAGACTTGATAAAGAAAATTATCGACTTCGTAGAAACTTATTTGAACATGTTGACAAATCATCATCATCATCATCATCATTTGTAGGTATGAATATCCTTGTCTATTTAATCAGCGATTATCTCTTTATGTCAATAAGGATCATGACTCTATAATTAGTCTATTGATTGTTTTCTTTTTCTGTTCTTTACTCATCCAATTGATAGAAAAAGAAAAATCGAGATGCGTACTGATTCTAATCATGAAGTTGGTAAATTAATAAATTATTTCGAAAATTTTATTAATGATTTAAATAAAGATCTAATACATAGTTCAAAAATAAATCATCATCATCATCAACAACAACAACAACAAATACGTACAACTAGTCAAAATACATCTAATTTATCAATATCATTTACAGATATTTTTCACCCAATGTCAACTCTATTACCAACAATAATTGATGAAGAAGATATTAATCAAACAAAACGTAATCGAACATTTTCAGAAGATATTTATGATCGTCTTACATATCAAACATTACTTAATACAAATTCATATTCAAGTCATGAACAATTAACTCAATCATCAATAAAAAGTACAAAACGACGACATCATTTTAATAATCCTACAAATAAAAAACGTTTATATCGTCGTCGACCGCCAAGTTATATTAAAGAATTAAAAGCTTATTTAGCTCATCGAGAATCATCAATAAATGATATTGTTAAAATATCTGATGTTAAAAAATTTAGTAATGTTCTTGTTTGGTTATCAAATCAAACAACATCACCATCATTAATTGAAACATCAACACCAATATCTTTAATAAAAACAGATAATACAGATAATAATAATAATAATAATAATCATTTATCATCAATTACTACAGATTCTGTTATTGCTATTACACAAGAAATTTCACAGTCATATTCAGGCGTGATATTTTTGAACTTTGCTTTTCTTTTTGTCTTAATTTAATAATACAATTTTTATAAATAATTTTTTTTTATTTTCGTTTATTTAGATCCTCTTGTAACGTTTACTGATGAAGCAAATACGAGTAAATTATCAACAAGACAATCTCTTACTTATTACACTTATAATAATATTCCATGGCAATTAAAAATTCGAAAAGAGGTAATCATTTAAGATCAACTATCTAAATAGACCGAATTTTTTTAAACTTAGCCTACCTGCATGTTTTTCTTACATACTAAGATTATAAGAATAATTTCAATGGAAGCCGAAAGACTATCTTCATAAAAAAAAAAACAGGAATTCATGACATATGTGTTGATTTAATACAGTATGTATCGGTCGGCAACAGATTACAAAAAAAAGAAAACATTAGCATGGAGAAAAAAACCTCGATTTTTTGAATAAGAATATTTTCAATGAATTTATTGAACAAAACATGACAAATCTCGCCGCATAATGACAATAGAAATATAAATCAGATAATAATAAGAATTACTCAATGACTCATGTAGAATAATAATACTCGATGAGAAAATGCAAAAAAGTAATTTTGTGAAACCGTTAAGAAAAGATATAAAATGAATGATGAGAAATCTATTATTAGATATGAACGTATATAGTCAAAATAAGAAAAAAGAACATTTCATGAAGTGACAAAGGTACTTGTCTGTATCTTTTAATATTTATATTTTCTGTTAAAAAGATGAAGTTTTTTTTTTATTAAAAATTTAGAAAAAACATGATAGACAGGCAACCTCCTTCACTTGTAATAAGCTCTAAAAATTAACGCCCTTGCCTATCTCAAGTAAACAGGCACTTAGTCTTAATGGTTTGTTTGAATCATTGATACTCATTGCAATAAATATAATATAGAAGCAAAAGATTATCGAAATTTCTACTACTATAATTATCTGAGAACACATTATGAAACGTATAGTTTCTGAATTATTACGTAACAAAGGAATTTCTTAAAATGTTAAACCATTCCTAGAACATGACAGTTCTTATCTTTTTAAGTCTGACTAACTGATAAAAAATTTATCTAATAGTTTGCGTTCATAAGCTTCATCTATCAGCATAACAAAATTTGAATGTATTTTGTCGAAAGATATCTGATGGTATAAACAATTCGATAGATAGAATAATTGGAAAATATAACTTTGTAACATTCAGCTACTTACATTCATTTTATATGAATTATAATTGTAACTCATTTTTTATAATAAATAGGTATTTTCACCTACTGAAACATTTGAACAACCACTTTTAATTGAATTACTTTATTTACAAATTGTACATGATATATTTTCATCAGTATGTGTTCGTATAAGTGAAGCAGAACGAACAAATATGAAGATATTTTTATGTAAGTTTAAATTAATTTGAACAAAATAAAAATTCTTTTATTTAGCTTCTCATGGTGTTGCAACTATTGGTGATATTAATTTAATAAACATATTATCAGCAAAAAAAGATATTATCGAACAAGCACGTCAATGGCCAATATATTTCTGTCGACTTTTTCCGATTACTGTACCGTATATTTAATAAGAATATTTTATCTATGTGATTGTTTCTCTTTATTCTAGACGATAAAATTTAATTCTGATGAAGAACAATTGTTAGGTATATCACATTCTGGTATTCGATTAATTAAACGAAGTCGAACAACAACTAACAGAGATATATTACAAGTACTTGAAACATTTCCATTTGATACGATTCAACATGTTTCACCAATTCGAAATGGTTCAAGTATTGATTTAAATTCAGCAAAGAAACGTATTACTATTCGTTCACAACGGGTATATTGTCTTTTCTATAATAGAAAAAGAAAAAGATTTTTCTTCACAATTAAATGTTTACGAAAAAGATTTTTTAATAGAAAGACAAATATGATGGAAATTATATTTTGATTTTTCTTTCGATAATTTCTAAGCTTATTTTAATGATTAATAGATCCAACGAATCAAACAAATGATTGAAAATTTTTTACAAGAATCTCAAATTGATGGAAACAAACAGTCTCAAATATGTAATCAAGTAAGTTCAAAACATTAAAAAAAAAAAAACTAAAATTATTACTTGAAAGTCCAGTAGACAGTCTCTGGATGAGAGATCCGATTGGAATTATAAGAATCCGATAGTATCCTACCGGATGGCTTCGACACAAGATCCTCTATTGCAAATAAATTCCATTAGCTAATATCATCTAGACTCTGTGTAAAAGACTACCGTTTGAGAATTCCTGATTATTAGAGAGCAGAGATATTCATCGTGATTGATAACTATAAAAAAAAGAAGGTTTAGCTGTTACCGCATGTCGATGGTACAATGGATATTTGTCCTACAGTACGTTCATTCCTTCTGCTTGTTTCAACAATATCCATATAAGTATAAACAAAAGTTCAACAAAGTTTATCAGAAATTATAATAACTCCAGGACGATCACTCCGATCGTCGAAAACGACGAAATATTGTTTTAAATCTCACGGTATTTTTCTGTAATCTCTCACTCCGTTTTACAAGTCGTTTTGTGAGATGACGGATTTCGGCGATGTCGCCTTATACTTAAGACTGAGTAGAATGCCATAATAAACGTGTATATTATTATCATCTGTATTATTTCGTTTTTAAATTATTTGTTTACTATACAGATTGATTATTGGTTTACGAAATATTGAAGACAATTTAACATTTTTGTTAAACCCTATGATTAAAAGATCTTAGTCAGCTCTTAAAAAAATCTCTACGGAAGTCTTTTGAAAAACTGAAGATTTTCGGGGAACTCTATTACGGCTCACTATGGTGTTTGTTAGAGAATTCTCGAAATTCTACGATGAGAATAACAATTATTATAAAGTTGCATATACGATGTCATTCCTCATCGTATTTAAATTTAGCTCTTGTCAGTGAGGATACAGGTAAAGTTTTCTTCCTCAGAAAATGAAGAAATGCAATTTATTTTTAAATTGATACTCCTTTGAGTTTGCTACGAAATTGCACACACACAAATGATGCTCACTTCTTTACAAACTCCTCAGAAAACACAGTGAAGAACAGCTTGAACATGATGAAAAATTCAAATAGTGAAATGATTATATCTATTGTTAGTTTATTATATATCGAAAAGAGAGCAGAACTTTCAGAAATTAAGTTGAACTTCAAATGATTGATCCATCCGTAAACTTCTTTATGTGAAAAGAATTATTTCTATTGAACCAAAAATATAGTATAAAATGACTGATGATTAGACTGAAAACCAGTTAAACCAAAGAGTTCTAATTCGATTCTGCTCAAACTTTCAACGAGTTTTCCTTCGAAAAGCGATACGTGACGTTAACTAGATTAGAATTTCCTCAAACAAACGTATTTTTCTGTTCCAAATGCATGTTTTTTTTTTTGCTTTTAAAATTACATTTTCGTGCAAAACGAAAGTGATAGTTGAAATCCATGCACGAAACTACATTGAATTATATGCTCAATAGTATATTGTGTCACAGGTGTCGTTTGTAATAATTTGTTTACCACATAGTCAGTTTTCTCTATGAAAGTTCTCAGAAACTTTCCAAAGAATTTATTCTTTATTTATAGTCTCTGAAAATTGGAGACTCTTGAGATATGTCATAGAGATTCATTTGGAGACTTGAAATGTTTTCGGAGAATTCACCGATGAATCAGAAAGCGACAATGATGAACGAGAAGAAAAAAGAAGAGAGTCGTCTATGTAAAAATCTGGTTTGTATTCTATCTTGAAGATTACTAAAACAACACTCTAAATTAGTTTTAGAACTTAGAAAACATTCAAAATAAATTTCTTTTATCTATTTAATTATTTTTATTTTTAAAAGAAATTAACATTACCTCCATTATCAAATACAAGTGATTTATTTAAATCATCAAGTCAAACTAGTTTAATGAGTTATAGTCAAACATTTAGTGAATTAATTCCATCAACATCATTAGAAATTCATACACCAAAATCAACTAAAAATGATATTATACGTCCAACTTTATCTGTATTACCAACAGGACATTCTATGATGGAATTTGCTCTACAAAATTTTAAAGTTCCAAGTAGACGGTAAAATATGACAAAATATTTATTGAAAAACAATGTTTGATGAATTTATTCTTTTTTTTTTGCATCTAAAAGACGATCAAAAAAAGGTTGGAAAACATCAGGTAATCTTAAATTTCTTTCCTAATTCAATTAAATTTATCTATTTTTTTTAATCAGAATGGACATGGCAAGATTATGCTGAACTTATCAAATGGTCTAAGGTAAGTTTATTAGATTAAATACAGGATGTTCCAGAAGTTTATAACGGAAAGTTTACGAAAGCAATATTTAGAACATTCATCAACGTATTCCAGCAATTCGAATTGCGAAAGAAGCTTTAAAATATTCTAAAATTTTCTTGAGTAGCCTAAGTATTGTTGTTAATATCGTTTAGTACATTTTTTCATTGTTATGAGAACGTACTCAATGAACGTTGCTATTACTTGTTTATGAGTTATTCATGTAGACTTGTTGGAATATCCTGATTTATATAAATTTTCAGAGTCCAATTCAAACGCCACTTCTTCGACAATCATCAAATGATTCCAGTCGTATTATACGGCAGTGTTTTCTTTGTAAATTTTTATTTTTATTTTTTAAATTTCAATTAAAAAAATTTTTTTTTAATATTTAGCTATTATGCGTTATATGGGTGATAATAATATGGCACGAGGTCAAACTGATATTGATTGTCTTTTCTATCTTCTTAAAGTATTAATTAAATTATTCATTTTTACTTAATAAAATTTATTATGTTTTTTTTTTTAATAAATAGAATATGCATAAACATCGAACGTTAATTGATGAAATTTTATGTCAAATTATAAAACAATTAACAGATAATAAAAGTACAAAAAATGATAGTGTACAACGTGGTTGGAAATTACTTACAATTATACTTAATTATTTTATTCCAAGTGAACATTTACAACCATATTTTATAAAATATCTTCATGATAATCGAATTAAAAATGAAAAATTAGGTAAAAATTTGTTAATTAATTAATGAATTAATGAATTATTTTTTCTTCATAGTACAATTATGTTTAAATCATTATGAGCAAACATTAAAATATGGTGGACGAAAAAATACACCGAGTAAAGCAGAAATCAGTCTTTTAACATCTGTATGAAACTTTATTTTTTTTTGTTAAGAAAATAGTTTTTCTTTTGAATTTCTTTTTAGAATGGTCAAAATGGAGGAAAACATCAGACATTTTTAGTACCAGGTGGATTTTCATTGACTTTATTGACGACACCATCAATGGTAAAAAACAAATATAGGCTATACATTCGAAATTAACATAACATCGCTTTTATAATACAAATCAGATCAAAAAAAGAATTTTCCTAAAGTATACATTTAGAATTTTTCTGAGACCCACAAGTCGAGAGTAGAGATGTGGGAGACCACTACAAAAAAATTTGTCGAGATCCGGACTACGAAAAAATATTTTATATATCATATCAATCAGAATATAATTCAAAAGAGATGACTTCAAAAGGATTAGTCGTCGGCTATATAAATAAAAAGAAAAAGTATTGACAATTTTTTAGATATGATATGAATAACTTTTAGAATAGTTTTCGCTAGGCTGGGATCAAAATCCTTGTTTCCACATACATTTCTAGCAAACTTTTCAAAAGGCATGAAAATAAAGTTTGAATGGTGTTCAGTACTTAATAAAATATTCACCATAGAAGTAACATATTGATAGAAAGAGCAAACATTTCTCTACAAAAACATATCTTGATCATCAGTTTTCTGCAAGGCATGTTCGCAATTCCTTGATTTCTAGTCTTATAGCGTGAACTCGGTCATTTTTGACTGATAGCTACGAAACTCTCAATTTTTACTTAACTTTGTAGAGTTTCAGCCTTGATGCTATGCAAAAGATGGCTAATAGATTGCATGCAATAAGGAACATCATTACTCAGAAGGAAGTCTATTACCCAGGTATTGGTCCAAAAGAATTCAAAATATAATACAGTCAAACACTACAAAATGAGATTAAACGAAATGGGCGTTTTTACGAAACTTACGGTAACAGTCATTGAACAACAGCATGCAATCAATTTCCAACAGAATACGGTCGCATTCTTCGTCTCAGGATCAGTTAGTGAAACTATCTCCATCCGAACTTTATTTTCAAGTCTTTCAAAAATGTACTCAGAAGTCATAACCCATGAGTGTCACCAAAATTCTGAACATAGATTCGAAAAAAAGCAAAAAATCTTGATTCTAACCAAGTATATAATACTTTCTACAAATTCTCCTAATCGGTCGAAAAACTTTTGACGCACCCGTTAGAATGGTTAGATATTTTTGAAACTATGTCAAGAAGAATTAAATAAATTTTTTTACTATATTTATTACAAGTGATTTTTGATACATTTTTCTTGTACAGGTAATGGATGATTGTCTTAATTTATTATGTGAACGTCTTAATATATTAAATACATTAGAAAATGATGAATATTCGATTTTTATTGTGATTGCTTCGGGTAAATTTTGCTTTTTGTTTTTGTTTAATTTTAGATAATTTCAATGTTTATTTTTTTTTATCTTCTTTAAATAGAATATTCATCTCGTCTATTAAATCCAACAGAATATCTTTTTGATATTATAAGTGAATGTGCTCGAGCAAATATAATTGATTTCCATTTGATTATTAAACGTATGCTTTGGTTCAATATTCCATCTGTGTTCAATACTAATAATCAATCAGAAATGTTCATTCATTTTATGTATCATCAACTTATACCTGAATTACTTGAAGGAACAATGATCATTCTAAATAATAATCATCTTTCTGATTTACTGATGGTAAAAAGAAAAACGAAGATTTTGTTGAATTATTGAAAATATTGTCATATGATTTATTATAGCAAGAAATCTCATTAATGGCTGCTCTTCAATATCGTGCATCAAATAAAACTGGTCTACCGACTATGTATGTGAATATGTAAGAGATTTCTACTTAATATTGTTCGTATTTATTAGGAGAGAAGTTAAACATCTTCTTCCAGCAACGGTATTAAAATTGAAAAGTGTTTGTCCTCAAGAATGGACAACATCTATTCATGATAAACTTTGTACATTTGTTGAATCAATGTCAATCATTGAAGCTAAGATTAAATTTTTAAGTAATTATAATAATCATCTTTTCTATATTTATTTTTGAATATATTGTACTTAACTTAGATCTCATAAAAACATGGCCGTTATTTGGTACAACATTTTTTACTGTCGAGGTCTATAAATATTTTAATTGTGACTCATTAATATTTCTTGTTTTTTTAGTCAGTCGATGATCCATTGATTCGATCACCATGTTTAATTGGTATTTATAAAAATGGCATTTTGTTTCTTGATTTAGATACTCGAGTAAGTTGGAAAATATTTTTTTGTATGTTTTTTTTTTGTCACACATAACCATAGGAAACCTTGTTTACAATTCCATATGATGATGTTGTATCAATTCGTCGTCATCAAACAACAATTGATATAAAATATGGTAGTTTGCATCAACCACATATTCTTCAATGTCAAGTTGATAGAGTAAGTTTTCTATTAAAAATAAAATAATCTCAAATGATTTGTCTATATCGAATTAGGCTCAAGATTTCGTAGCATTGAGTGGACGTTATTTAAGTTTGATTGGTCGAAGTTTAATAGCAACATATAATGATCCGATTAGTACAATATTGTAATTGATGTTGTTGCGTTGTTTTTTTGTTTCATTACCATGTAAATAAATAAATAGACAAAAAGTATATGAATACCAACCGATACGTACACTACTGGATAATTAAATTGAATGAAAGTATTGTTATTTTTAGAGGAATCAACAAATTTTCCTGTATATAATTATTGATTCAAACAAGAAAGATATTAAGATAATTAATATATCACATCAACTTGCTATATATTTCGAAAATATACGTATGTTGCGTTGAACGGAAGAAAACTATCTTTCTCGTCACTTACGAGGGAACATCCCCAAGTGTGAGTCGCAGTTTTGAATGGAATATATACTAGTTTGTAGAGCTCGACGAATTGATTCTCGTGGTATATTTCGTTTTTGCTCATACACCTCCAAATGAGAAAATTGATAAGTTTTATTTGTACAGGACAACACTGGTAATATCGGAATTTTAAGCATAACATTCTCACAGAAAAGCAATTTTAAAAACTGCTTGTAGCAATTTGAGCCACTGATTCTCATATGTCACATATAAAACTATTTAAAGAAACGCTACTTTTTATATTTTCAATGTTATTTTTGTGCGCGGCAATATTATTTATATGATACAGTTTGACGAATAGAAGTTGTATAAGAAAACTTCTTTCTACATTCCGAAGTTTAAGCTTTATGATTTCCGTGTTTCAAATTACATAGACTATCAATTTATCGTTTCATTCGAAAAATATATCAAGAACAGAATCAATGGCAATGATACGCGACGAAAAAATGTTCGAAACACAGTATTCGTCGACAATGACTACAACAAATAAATGCACTCTCCTCACAATTACTATTTGAGCAACTGTCCGCATAAAAAAAAACAAACCTCTATAAAGCTCGAAAAATTTGGGTATTGTTTAGGAATGTAGTCACAAGTTGACCACGCACATGAAATCATTGGTTTGAATGAAGAAGAACTCAGTTGATTATGAGCCAGACTTTGTAATTTGATTATAGCATCACGACTTCATAAGTCAACATCTAATTCATCTAGAGATACACGATGATATATTCTCTTCGTTAACACTTTTCATTGTTGGAAGAAATAAGTATCATACGGTTGTTTAGTTGACATTGTTCTTCTAGGTATCACCAATAATTTACACGACTGTCCTTTTGTGAGGTTATACTCATATGCAGTAATGTCAGCCTGCGGTGACCATTGATCGACCATAAGCAGGAATCGATTGCTGACTACTTTATCTAGAACTTCTCGAATCCAGTATTCTACCAAAGATTTATTTAATTTTCCAGATGTACTGCAACTAGTCACTATATTTGGTGCTGAAAAGATCGCTCCTATAATTGGAAATCGACCCGTGGGTTCCTGAAGATAAATAAAAATAGAACAGAGTAAAAGACCAGCGGCACTAATGATCGGCATCACTGTATAGGAATGGGTTATAGCATTCAAAGATTTTACTGATAGATAAGTCGTTTTCTCTCCTGCATAAGATAGCGTACGGTTCGAAACTATTTCATAATTAAAACTGGATTGATCTGCATTTAGCACAAAACCAAACTTATATTTTGGTATATGCTTGGTCGCTTCAGCGACAAACTCATCAGCAGTCTGTTTAATTATAGATTTTTCAACAGCTTCTCGATGAGAAACGAATTTTGTCACTTTTCTAGAAGAAATAGGGTGTGGGTGTGGGATGTGGGTGTATTAGAACAACAACCCACACCCACACCCTCGCTTCCATTAACTTTGCATGTAAATACCACTTGTGTATCTGGTGGAATATAGATTTTGTTAAATGCTAAATAAGGTACAAATAAATCGGCCGTGTCACAATACCAAATATTGTATGGTACTGGACTTTGATAGAGTGCACACGTATTTTGAATCCAAATTTCATTCCAACCACTTGAGCCACGTGAGGGTGTCTGATCTCCAGTACAAACACCAGTGCCTTGACTGGGTGTGGGTGTGAATGTGGGTGCGGGTGTGGGGTGTGGGTTGTTCTTCTAATACACCCACACCCCACACCCACACCCATCCACCCACACCCACACCCCACCCACACCCACACCCACACCCATACACTCACACCCACACTCCACCCACATCCACACCCACATCCCAATATCAAACAAATCAAATACGATTATGGCGTTGAGTCGAGAAAAAAAAATATTATCTGTAAGTTAAGAAACTCTAAATGATGAAAGAGCATTTAAAAAATTAATTTGTAAACATACAGAAAAAAAGTGAAAACAAATTCACATAATTATTTTCTTCTAAGGCATATTTTTTGAGCAAAGCAGAAAAAAAAATTCTGTTGAGACCGACTATATTTAGTTTTAATTCTTATAATTGTGATATACTTATATAAAATATGGAAAAAAAAATTTGTCAAATATATCACTTATTGTGCAAAAAACTAGAAGCTCTAGGAGATATAAATGCGAGAATATTATTAATAATTTTTCAAAAAACATTTTTTTTTAATTATTTTTGACGCAAAACTAATGGAGCTTTCTATTGAAGCTGATTCTTCTCTTTCGAACCATGTTCAACTTGTTCTTATAACACGTTGATAAACGGGAAGACACAATACAAAAGAGAAATATCGTTTAAAAAAAATCCACATTTTTCGTAAGATTAAGAAAAATAGCGCAAAATAATAATTGCTGTATGCCGTTGATTACTTTTTAATAAACATATTTTCAAACAGACTATTTTATTTACATTCATTTATAGAATATGTTAACAGTTTTTGGAAAAAAGGAAATTACAAATTATTCAATCTTAGTGGACTTATCAATGAAAAGATTGAATAATAATATTTGAGAATCAAAAACTTCTATAGAAAACTTTCTTTATTGATTTGTTCCTATCTCTTTAGTCAAAACTTTTATTATGATATATTATACTAATAACATTCGATTGGGTAAAGCTATTAATGGATTGATTATATTAATTAAACGTCTCATCTTTATACATCAACGTGCTACTAGACAAATTTCTATCGATTGTACTTAGAAAAGTAGGAAAACATCAAATTGACCTTGCAAATAATAGATAAGAATTGAATAAACTTTTAAAATTTTGTGCAATAAAAACTATTATTAAATAAATGAAACGAAAATATGTAGTCGTTTAACACTTATGCTAATTCATTTTCGATATGAGTAACTCTTACAACTAATTCCCATATTACAAAAGAAAACAACAATATGATTTTATTGCTATGTAGCTGACATTTTATGATAGGATATGAAGAAGAAAAACACTTCAGTTCTTTTTTTTGTTAAAGTGATGAACAAAATCTAGCCCTATATGAGATTCAACATTCAAGCAAAAAATAGAAAAAAAACTCCCTTTTTTTGGATGTTATTACAAAAAGAATGGAAATGAAATTAGTCGTTTATGTATAGAGAAAGTCCATAGACACTCAGTTGTATTTTGAAAAATAGAAGCAACCAATATGTAAATTGCAAAATAAAACTACTTAAATGCTGATGCATTCATGCGAAAGGCATCTGTTGTGCTGAATTTTTATTTAAAAAAATAATTAAAAATATTTCATATGGATATTCATAGTAAATGGATGTTCATTAAATGTTAGAAGTAAAACTATAAGAAGTATTGTTGAATGAGAAAAATATGTTAAGAATATTCTGCTAACAATTAATTGTGAAAACATATTTATCTTGATATCTTTCTATAGTGATCTGCTGAATATATTAGCTAATAAAACTAAAAGATTATCACAATATTACAAGAAAAGAATCATTTTTGATCTGACTTCAAGAGAACGATACGTATATCATTGATATTTTCTTTAACATATCGAGAATCTAATGAATCGATGGAAAATAAATAGAAGAATTCTAAAAAATTATTTCAAGGGAAAAGATTTTTGTAGGATTGACAAATATGTTTCCATTTATAAGCAATTAAATAATTGACATGTTGAAGTAGTTGCAATAATATGTAATAACACAAAGAGACTTATAAAAGAGAGTATATAGATAAATTATTTTTCGAAAAGAAATAAGTTTGATTATTTCCAAAACAAAAAATTTAAAATGAACAATTTCTAGTAGAGCTTAAAAGCACACATATTCGTGAGAAGAAGTAGAAATTCAAAAAACAAAAAATACCAAAATAATTAGGTTTATTTTATTATTATTATTTTTTTGTGTTCTTCACTAAGTCATTAGCTTGTTTATATCTGCATGTTTATTCTTAACTTTGACTGTCAGAGCAAATACATATTCACCAAATGTCTTACATAGAGATACATGTTATTTTCATATTCTACAACGATATGTTTTATCAATAAGTATATCGTGAAAAACAATTTAGAAACAACAGAAGTTTTATAAAAGAATCTCATGCAATCAAAAAATTTCTTAAAATCTTTTGAAGTTTAACTATCTCTATTGAAATAACTTGAGGTATCATGAAGGATGGGGGGGGGGGGGCGGATTTCCTAGCAAAATCGATACTATTTGAAAAAGATAACAGAACACTCACTAATTATATATGATTACGAAGGTAGTAAAATCCACTAAATATGTAGGCTACAGTTATGCTAATAACACCGATTTTCTTGAGGATGTGGGTGTGTGTGTATGGATGTTAGTGTTCTTCCACATAGCCGGATCTACACGCATACCCACACCCTCGAGAAAAATACGTTTGTAACAAAGTTTGATGGAAATTATTTGTCTGTGATAAATAGCTAACTAATTATTAGATGATAGAATATTTCGAAAGGAAAATAGATCTTTATCAATTTTATTTTTTAGAGGAAGATCTTCGATTTTTATCCAGAATAATCTTCATTTTTAAACATAACTACTTCAATTTTAAATAAATAAAAATAGCAATTAGCGAGAAAAATAATATTAAAGAAAAAAAAATTAAATGAACTACCTGAATTAAAAGTGAATAAGATATTACAAGATAACAAAATTAACTGATAATATTTTTTCAATAGCTAATTCTAT